ATCGATGCCGAAGAGCTCTACGAGGTACCAGCTCCACCCCGCGCCGGAGTTCCTCTAGCTCATCGATGCCAAACAGCTCTACGAGGTACTCGCTCCACCCCGCGCCGGAATTCCTCTAGCTCATCGTTGCCGAGGAGCTCTACGAGGTGCTAGCTCCACTCCGCGCTGGAATTCCCCCAGCTCATCGATGCCGACGAGCTCTACGAGGTATAAACCACTTGCCCACGGGCCAGTGGAGATGTGAGAACAAACCATGTATGCGTAGGATTGCCTGTTGTGTAGATTTAATGGGGCATGCATGTATGGTATGGCGTGCTCGGAGTTCTGGATTGGGGGAAGATTTATACAGGGTTGTGTTCAGGGAGGACAACACACTCGCGGACCTTCTCACGCACATGGCTTGTGAGGGCCAATGTTTTTACACACTATATATATATATATGTATCAACAGCATTACGGATTCGGGACTTACTTGAAACCCGTTGCCCCCCGTGGCTTTTATGACGGGGATGTATGCAGCAAGGGAACGGGGTGCGGGTTTTGGCTTCAAATCGGCTACGCTAACCATCGATTTGATTGCAATTCTTATCCTACCTCGTAGAGCTCCTCGGCATCGATGAGTTACAGGTTCCGGCGCGGTGTGGTTGATTATTGTTGATTTTGACAATGACGGTGATGATGATAATCATGATGATGAGCGTGAGGGCCAGACGGATGAAATTCGAGGATGATAGACGAGTGAGGCATATCACCTGGAACAGGCTTAAGAACGTTTGGGTGGCGCGCATCCATAAGTGTTGCCAGTGCGTTCGGACAACTCGCACACATTACGGTTGTTACGTGGTCATACTGCACGCTCTTGCGGAGCTCTTCGTTGCCACGCGCATCACATCCATGCCATGAGAAGTTTTACGATCTACCGTTGGTGTTGGGTGTCGAATGGTTGCCACAACATTGGGATGTTGGGTGTTTCTTTGGCTTCAGACCCTTACGTCAGACATGTGTGTTTCGCCTGAGCCATCCTCAGGCACTTGAGATTTTGAGTTCGCTGCCAAAGCCGCTTTCGCCTAATACATGCCCGAACATTTGGGATGCTGAACAAACTTGGTATAAGACAGTGGAATGTTAAGCCCCAAGCTTTTGCTCGAAGCATCCGCAGAAAATGGAAACATTGGAATGGCTGGCGATCTTATGGATCTTCGAATGTGACGCTCTCTTTCTTTGGGCATCCTCCACACCATGATATGCTGACTGATTAGCTATCGTGCGACATCTTCTGGGGGTGCTCTTTGGAGGACACCCAACCTGTTCCAAGAAACGAAATCGTTGAAACGCGAAGTGTCTGCATTTTTGTTCTTTCAAACGTAGGCGTTTCGTTTCGCCTGGGGCTTCCTCAAACAATGCCTTCGGGCGGGTCCTTGAACGCATCAGATGATGAGTGAAATGTCGAAGATGACGCTGATGATGGTGCTGATCCTGATTATGCGAATGATGATGCTGATGCTGATGCTGATGCGGGTGCCGGTGGTCATGCTGAAGCTGATGCTTGCGCTGATGCTGTTTTTGATGATTGTGACGGTGATGGTGATAGTTATGGTGATGATGCTCTTACGCTGATACTGCTGCTGAGGACGATGCAATGAGCATGGCGATGAAGATGATGTGATGGTGGTGTTGGTGATGGTGATGGTGTCGCTCATGATGGTACATCTGATGATGCCTGTGAGTGCAAGACGGAAGAAACCTGACAAGTACAGACGAGTGAGGGAGATACAGGCTGGCGAAGTGAACTTTCGGGGAGCGCGCGTCCATAGGTATCCCGAGCGGACGTTCGGATAGCTCGCCCACGTCACAGTCGATTGTGATGATGCTGCACGTTCTTGCTCAACTCTTCCCTTTCACGCGCTTCCCGTTCCCGTCAGGAACGGGTTTACAAATGAGCCTTTCGCTGGATATATCCCCACACCACCGGAATGCTGGGGGCTATCCTGCAAGACGTCTTATGTTGAACATGAGCGTTCGCTTGAGACGTGCTTGCACAGTCGGACTGTTTACATCGCTGGTGTAATCTTCGGATCCTTGACCATGAGGCACTCGGTTGAGCCATCTTCGACAACATCAGATATCAGAGGAGGTGGTCGTCGATGTCCTTTTGGATTCTTCCAGGAGGACCTCCAAGCGAAATTATTGAACCGCCAATGTTGGGTTCGCATTTTTTGGGTTCAGAAGTAAGTGTTTTGCTCGAGATACTCCCGAAACCTGCCATCGGACGGGCCTTTGATATCGTCATGCTATGGTGACGGTCTTTTCACGATGGCGGTATTAGCGATGATGATTGTAATGTCGATGTTGTTGTTGATGATGGTGGGGATGATGATGGTGCCGTGATGTTGATGGTGATGACGGCGACAATTAGCATGATGGTTGAAGTAGGGGGACATGGAGGAAACTGGAGGCGTACCGAGGAGTGAGGAGGATAATTAGGCACAGGCTCGTGAAGAATTTTTTGGCGCGTGTCCACGTGCATGCCTGGTGGACGTTCGGGGAGCTCGCTTGCACTCTTTGCAGTACGTTTGACGATGGTGCTGCTGCACGTCTCTGCGCATCTCTTCGCTTTCCTGCGCTTCCCGTTCGTGCCAAGACTGGTCTCTCACACGTGGCCTTTCCGCTCGGGGCATCCCCAAACGAGTGGCGTCGGAGGGGGCTCCGAGTCAGCGTCGTCTTGGAACCGCTCCTGGCGGGGCCCACCTTGGCCCACGAGGGCCCCACGCGGTTTCCCCGGGCGGCCCCGGGGAGGGCCCGAAGGGGCTCCCGGGGAGAGCCCCGGAGAGGCCGCCAGACGGCCCAGACAGCCGAAGAGGTTGCCAAGACGGACTGAGAGAGCCCCCGCAGAAGGCACGCCCAGGCAGCCCACCCAGACAGCCCAAGAAGACCCCTGTAGCCCCCAAGAGGACCCGACTCAGCGTTTCCAGTGGTACGTCTACAAGACAAGGCACCCCATCTCTCCTCCCCCCCTTCCCTCCCCTCCCCACTCTCCCCCCTCCCCCCCCCCCTCCCCCTCTTCCCCCTGCCCTTTCCCCTCCCTCCCGCCTCTCGCGCTCTCCCCTCCTTCCCCCCCCTCCCCCTCCCCCCTCCCCCTCTCCCCCCCCCTCCCCACCCTCCCCCCCCACTCTCCCCCCTCCCCCTTCCCCCCTCCTCCTCCCCCCTCCTCCCTCTTCTTTTCCCCCTCCCTCCCGTGTCTCGCCCTCCTCTCCCTCCCCCCTGCCTCCCTCCCTCCTTCCCTCTCTCCATCTCCCCTCCCCGTCACCCTCTTGTTGCTCCGCTTTCCTGCTTCCTCCCTCGCCAGACCCCTTTAAAACACCCCAGTGTCCTCCAGAACACCCGAAGACCGCCAGCCCTGCTCGTCCTGCCTCCGGCGCCCCTGTGCTCGGCTTCTTCTTCTTCCTCCCCCTCCTCCTCATGCTCCTCATTCCTCCTCCCTCCTCCTCCCTCCTCCCTCCTCCCCCCTCCCTCCTCCCTCTTCCCTCCTCTCCTCTCCTCCTCTCCTCCTCCTCCTCCTCCTCCTCCTCCTCCTCCTCCTCCTCTCCTCCTCCTCTCTCTCTCTCCTCCTGCTCCTCCTTTTCCTCCTTTTCCTCCTCCTCTCCTCCTCCTTCTCTCTCCTCTCTCCTCTCTCCTCTAGCCTCTCTCCTCTCTCCTCTCGCCTCTCTCCTCTGTCTCATCTCTCCTCCTCCTCCTCCACCTCCTCCACCTCCTCCTCCTCCTCTTTCATCCGTCCTCGCCCAGAGGTCCCCAGGAGATTTCGGAAAGATTCCCTGAGGCCCCTTGGGGGCCACCCGGCGTAGGCTTCCATGGAGGCCCAGGGGCCCAGGACGCACAGGACGTCCCTGGAGCCTCGATGAGGCTTTTTCTCCCGAATTGATCGGGGACCTCGAAGATGGATGTGTGGACTCGGATTGTGTGTGTGTGTGTGTGTGTGTGTGTGTCGACGCCGCAGCGCCACCGCCTAGCCTCACGTAGGTCTGCCTCGCGGGACGAACAGGCGCAGTGCCCAGTGTCCAGTGTCCAATGTGTGTGTGTGTGTGTGTGTGTGTGTGTGTTTGCGTATTTATGTTTGTGTGCATGCAGGCCTCCCAAATTGGGCCAGAGCAGCTTGGATTGGAGGATCGCGCCGCATCGCCGATGCATCGGCGACAGGGGTCGATGTGGAGCCTGTTTTTTTTCACGCCGACATCGCCGACGCATCGGCAATGCATCGGTGATGCGGCGTGATCCTCTTGCCCCTATCTGCTTGGACCCCACTTGGGAGGCCTCCAGCGTGCGAAGGCAGACATCACAGGAGCCTCGCCTGGTCCCCTCTGCCTGTCCCCGCCTGCCCCGCGCACCGCCGCCCGCGAGACCGCTTCGGTGCTGGGCGCGTGTCCGCCGAGGTAACAATTCAGTAGGGGAAGAAACACACAGACACAATCAATCGTCGATTCCCCAGAAAATATGGGAAAATATGGGAAGTCGGGGGGAAGACAGAAACCCAGAAAATATGGGAAAATATTGGGAATCCTGTTATTTGTGTGTATTTATTCGTGTGTCCCAGGGCCCCTTTATTTGTGGCTGCTGCCAGCTGCGGGACCCTACGTGGCTGAGCGCTCGGGGCCGGGCGTGGATGCGCGCGCCTCCCACTGCCTGCACCCGTCTTTCTACGCCCTGGCGCCGCGCGAGGGGCCGCGACGCCAAAAAGTGCGCAGGAAGATCTCTTGGCCCCCTCCCCTTCTCTGCGTGCACCTCCTGCCCTCTCTCCTGGCGCCCCTCTCCCTAGCCCGGGGGGCGGCCTAACCGACCCCCAACAAGCCCATCCCCTGCCGTGACTCCCCCCCGCGCCTCGCCCCAAGAAGACGTGTGCGTGCGGCCAGAGGGAAGCTTGAGAAGGCGAGGGCGACGCCACGGAAGGGGATGGCCTGCCAGAGGTCGACTGGGCCGTGCCCGACAACCCTCCCCCGTCGCGCACC